TTGAAAAGAAAGGGTTGGGGGGTCAAGGATTGACATTTAAAAAGCTTTACCTGACTTCTTACTTCAAGTTTACTTAGTCTAGTTTAGAGTATTGCAAAAATTCGAGCTGTATTATTTTCTAAGTTGCCTGATTACATACGCATAAAACATGCAGAAGCATTGTGAATACTAAAAGCGACATGGAAATGGTGTTCACAGGTACTGCAATGAGAGTATTCGTAGTTGAAGTCAACTACAAAGGTCGGTAAGTAATTTAAGGTCTAATTTGGGCTGCTATTTTTTTGGACATATAAGGGTTTTCTGAACTAATTAAATGTTTCATATCAGCCAATTTCACTGTTTCACAAAAAAACTTTAAGTTTAGCTACTTTTTTAATCTACATATGATTGCTTAGAGCGCGGTTTGGATGAATATAGGTTAAGTTGATAATATAAATTAGCCACCGCAGAGTTTCCAATTCGCCGACCAATTCGAAGCCTCATCATTCCCCCACCCCCGGGCAGCCCATGAGCATTTGTCTGTCACCCTTACCCAGTGGGTGGGGAATTTGAGTCTTCCAAGATGTTAGTAACTAGAGGAACGACTCCAAAGCTTCAAGAAATTCCTGTGGAGTGATTGCACTGTAGCGTAGGTACAGAAGTATTCTGTAAATGGAACTGTAAAGAAAGTCGGTTGATTTAATATGTGAGCTGTACCTCTAGCCGGTAGCATTTTCTAGGCTTAACACGATTCAACCAGCCAGAGGGACAAGACCAAGGAATATGAAATGTATTCTTTACAAGTAATAATGTTCAAGTTTAATTCAATAACGCTGCTTGACTGTTGGTAAATCGCAAATTATGTTACTGGAATAGTCCACCATATACATTGGTTTTGGCGACAATTAAATTTCTGTCATTCGTACGCCCCAATTCGTAATTCCGTTCGTCTATACACGGGCGGACCACAGTATGTGTTCGTTATTAACAGTAGTTGAATGAGACGAACAAAATCTACGAGGTTAATGAATAAGGCTCTGAAAATTGCATATCTAAATCACATCTATGTTTGGATATCTCATTTAAGTTAAAAGAAATGTTACTCGACTCATTTATGGTATTTTGTCGCTTCCATGAGCCGTTTGAAACGTCTTTCTATGAAATTACTTTTGGCCGGAGGCCGATAAGCGAAGAAAGGGAGGCAAGGCTTGCAACTCGGTGGCCGCCGCGACCTCCTCCACTTCAACCTGGAATTAACGCCAACTACTGAAAATCTCAGTGCTGGCTGCGCGACGTTTGTTGATCGATGAGATGTTGCTCCATCTCTTTGCGCAATTTGAGCTTCATCCTGCCACATTTTCCGAATAAAATCGGTGCCGAGAATCATGAAAACAGCCTTCCCAATGTGATCTGTGCCAAACTCAGCGCCCAACGAATTCGATGCAGGCCGTTTCAAATTTACTGATCAGTGCTTTGGGGTTTTGAACCGCGGTGGGTTGTTGCAGTAGGCCAGGTGCTGATTGGTGGCTTGCAGGCTTTAGATTCCTTTCGTCGCTGAGTTTGGCACAGATCATAAATCCTGGTATCCCGTGTATTTTCTACAGAAATGATGAATGCTTAGCTTTGCCATGAAAAGTTCCGGCTTTTCAAAGAAAAGAAGCGAAGAGACGGTCCGGACGGGGCTTTTTATCCAATAAAATCAAATTCAGTTTCTAGTAACGCACCAATTTTTTTAAGTACATATAGATTGAAAGGTTCTTTGATCTCCTGTATAGAATTAGCTTCTCTCGCAATCGACTGTAACGCTGGTATCTTGGGCACATTTAGGGCTCTTGTGCAATTAGTTGTTACGTGAGTTCCTCTCGTAATTTCAGGCTTGTCTTTCAATCGATTGTTACGTTATATTAGTATCTTGGGCATTTCACTTCTAGTCAATCGATTATTACGTTAGTATCTCTCACTGTGAGGGTTCTCTTTCAGTCGATCGTTGCGTTAATATCTTGAGCTCTTTTCGGATTCTCTTCGTTTAGATTATTACGTTAGAATCTCGCGCGCTTGTAGTGCATTTTTATCATGAATCCTCTTTTATCTGATTGTTTCGTTAGTACCTCGCCCCCTTTGAAGATTCTCTTTCATTCGATCTTTACATTAGTATCTCGCGCACCTTTTAGCTTGTCTTTCAACCGATTGTTACTTTGGTATCTCGCGCACTTTTAGGATTCTCTATGTTTGGATCATTGCGTTAGTACCTTGCGCACTTTAAGGCTCCTCTTTCAATCGATTGTTGGGCACTCTTACGCTTCTCTCGAAAATCAGGACAATAAACTAAACATTTCAGGAAACCTTAAGGTTAGTGTAGGCTTTGAGTCCTCGTTTACTAAGAGCAAATATGTTCTTTGAGTTTAGCATACCATCAGCACCACTATGGATAATTTAGCTGTTACTCGAAATCGGAAATTTTCGAAATCACACTTCAAAGTGAATGGTTTGAAAATTTAATGTGAACGGAAAAATTATAGTAGCTGTGAGCACGTGGTGTCCCATATTCAATCTTTTTTTTAAGATTTGTTGTCAGTTGCTTGGACTTCAGACTTTAAAAAGTAGTCGCATCATCACTCGATCGGAATTTAACATTTGAGGATTTTTTGTTT